AATTTAACCAAGGAGGTGAAAGATCTGTACCATGAAAACTATAAAACATTGGTGAAAGAAATTGAAGACACAAATAAATGGAAAGATATCCTATGCTCGTGGATCAGAAGAATATTGTTAAAATGTCTATACTATCCAAGCAATTTGCAGATTCCACGCAATCCCTATCAAAATCTCAATGGCATTCTTTACAGAAATAGAAAAAATAATCCTAAAATTCATATGGCATCATAAAAGACCCTGAAGAGCCAAAACAATTCTGAGGAAAAAAAAGAAACATCTCATGTCCTGATTTTAAATTATATTACAAAGGTAATATAATCAAAACAGTATGGTACTGGCATAAAAAGTCCAGTGGCACAGAACAGAGAGCCCAGAAATAAACCCGAACATACACAGTCGACTAATTTTTGACAAGGGCACCAAAAGGACATGATGGCAAAAGGATAGTCTCTTCAATGAGTGGTGCTGGGAAAACTGGATTTCCAAACACAAAAGAATGAAAGTGGACCCTCATCTTACACCTATACAAAAATCAGCTCAAAATGCACAGAAGTCCTAAATGTAAGACCAGAAATTATAAAACTCCTAGAAGAGAACATAGGAAAGTTCCTGGACATTGGCCTTGGCAATGATTTTTTGAATATCACACCAAATGCTCAGTTCACAAAAGCACAAATAAGTAAACAGGACTACAACAAACTAAAAAGCTTCTGTGCAGCAAAGGAAATAGCAAAATGAAGTGACAGCCTACGAACTGGGAAAAAATATTTGTAAACCATATTGATAACAGGTTAATATCCAAAATTTATAAAGAATTCATACAACTCAACAGGAGAAAAACAAAATAACCCTATTTTAAAAATGGGCAAAAGACCTAAATAGACATTTCTCCAAAGATAATATAAAAAGCCAACAGGTATATAAAAGGGTGCTCAACATTAATCATGAAGGAAATGCAAATGAAAACCACTATGAGATACTACCTTACACTAATTAAGATAGCTATTATCAAAAAAACAAAAGATAACAAGTGTTGATGAGAGTGTGGAGAAAAGGGAACTCCTGTGCACTATTGGTGGGAATGGGAATGTAGACTGTACAGCCATTATGGAAAACATTATGAAGGTTTCTGGAAGTTAAAACTACCATATGACACAGCAATATCCCTCTTCTGGGCATATACCCCAAGGAAGTGAAATCACCACCTCTGTAAAGATACCTGCACCTCCATGTTTATTGCAGCATTATTCACAATAACCAAGATACGGAGATAACTGAAGTGTCCCTCAGTAGGTGAATGGACTAAAAAAATGTGTATATGCACAATGGAATGGTATTCAGCCCTAAAAAGGGACAAGATCTTGCCATTTCCATAACATAGATGAGCCTAGGAGACATTATGCTAAGTAAGCCAGAGAGAAAAAAAAATATTGCATAATCTCACTTTCATGTGGAATCTCAAAGAAAAAATCAAATGTACAGAGATAGGTAGCAAAACAGTGGTAGGCAGGGAGAAAACGGGGAGGTGTAGGTCAGAGGATACAAGGTAGTGGATATAGTAGCATGAACAAGTGTAGAGATCTAATGTACACATAAGGAATATAGGTTATAAAATTGTACTGTATTTGGGATTCATGCTAAATGAGATTTTAGTTGTTCTTGCCACACAAAAAAATGGGTAACTGTGAGATAATGGATATGTTAACTTCGTGTTGTATACCTTAAATATAAGCATAAAATTTATTTTAAAAAATTAAAAAGTAAAGCTCAGTAGTATAATGATAATAGAGGTAACAAGAATATCTGGAGAAAAGATATATCTTCTTTTCTTCTTACTTACAAAGAGCACACAGCATATATAAGGCATGACAGTGATCTTCCTCAATAATCTCCCTATTTCAAAAGTCTGTAAAAAAAGTGGACCAATTATTGTATTTCTTATTATGCACACAAATCAAAACTTTGAAAAACAATGGTTTAGGATTAACTTTCTTGAATTTGCTTTGTTACCAGCTTTTTTTCTTTGCTAAAGTGCAGCCTCCTGAACATTTATTTATTCCCTAACTCCTTTACTCTCTTAATTACATTTAGTTCATAGCTTAAATTCTTACTCAAGTTTGCATTTGCAAAACATAAAATCTGAGGAGTGTTTCAGAAGAACACTGATTATTTAAAGGAAGGAAGCTTGGAATTTACAGGTAACTTTAACCTTCAGTCTTCAGTGGAAGCCTACTTTCACCGTTTCCCAGTTGTAAGTTTGGATTTAAGAAAAAAAGGCCAAGATGCCTAAAATGTTAAAGTTTTGCTTAACTTACTGTTGACACATGACAGTGAGGGTGAGACTTTTAAAATCCCCATTAAGTAAAATCCAGCAAAAAGAAGTTTCCTAATCTGGAAATGTTGTGTCCTTTTCAAGAAAGCAAGTCTGTAGCAGTATTTTTACAATAATGCCACTCTTTAATTTAGGATCGTTTAAATATGCTTTATTAATGTCAATTTTTTGAAATATCTGACCATTACAAGGAATTAAATTTGTATACACCCCCACTGATTAAGATAAGAATTTTGTATTGGATGCTCTAATTAAACAATTTTCATTGAAAAACTGTTCTTCATTGCTTTACTGTGATACTGACATTGCTTTTGTGGTGCTCAACGCTGAGTACAAGTTCCTCTCCCATTTCAACCTGGATGGGATTATCTAAAACCACTGCAGCTTGTTTCCAGTGGGAGGCTTCACTTGAAGTATCCAACCTAATATCTTCATCAAGGTACATATGATACCAAAATGGAATAGCAGTCACTTGTCCAGATTTACAAATTTGTACCTATGAAAATTAAGAAATTATGAAAATTTCATCAGAGTAAAGAGTAGACTCAGATAAGTCTTTTCTTTTTAGTCGATTTTAAATACAATTTATTTAAAAATACACTGAATCACCCAATATTAACCTATTTTATTCACTAATATTTACTCAAATCTATTTTTATATATTCAGAAAAGAAATAAGATTTCAGTCTTCAAAGAATGTGGCTAAAACTACGTCTTCAAAGTACTGCCTAATTTAAGATAATTATTCTGAACATGACAAAAGTAGTAATTTTGCATGTTGTCCTTACCTTTACTTCTCTGTTAAAGGTGTTCAAATATGGAGACATTAAATCTAGTCTTAAAAGTTCCACTGGCTTGCTTAAAGGTATACAGGGCAATGAGGATAAGTCCAAAAAGACACGTATAGGTACCTAGAGAAAGTATAAAATTTTCACTTTCACTTAATCTTTTTGTGGTCAGGGCTCAAAGTTTTTCACTTTTACATATTCCTTTTGTGGTCAAGGCTTCCTTAGTACTTGGCTCAGTATTCTTTTTACATCTCTTACCTCCTTTATATTCATTCCCATATCAACCTAAGGCTTTCATTAGAACTTCGCTACCCCAGGATAGAAGGAATGAAAAAAAAAAAAACCCAAGGTTTAGACAGGTTAGATAATTTGCTATGGTTTCAATTACCAATAGATCTTTTACTTGGATGAAAGCAGATTAAATTTTTACTTAAGCCACACAGCTCTAAAAATTTTAAGCCAAGGATCTGCTTATGAACTAATAAGTAAATATCACAACACTAATTATTGAATTGTTTGAGAAAACATGCCAAATTCAACCAAACAATAGTGGATTTCATTCAGAAAATAAGTTTATTTCTAGAAGGCCATGGTTCTCAACTTTGGCTGCAAATTAAAATCACCTGGAGAGCTTTTAAAAAGCCCAACTGTTCAGGCCACACCCCAGACCAATCTAGAGTTAGGATCCAGGTATCGTAGTTCTTAAAAGTCCCCCATGTTTCTTTCTAATGTACAAAGTTGAGAACCACTGCTATTAAGTGTTTTATCAATTTTAGTAGCAATGGAACCCTGCTACTAATAATTTTTAACCTCTTCTTCATTTGAAATAGAAAGGAAACTGGTTTAAAAACCACTTTCCTTTTTATAAAATATTAGAGTCCATCACAGTATAACAGAGGACACAGATACATCCACCTCTCCCAGGGTATCCTTGAAAGCATCCAACCTTTCTTCCCCATAAAATCTCACAGCAAGGCCACACCATTTCTAAGAGTCCTCATTATGCCCTTTATTCCTGTTTCTGTATCAGCCACCAGAAGCAGCCCTAGATTCCCCCATCACCACATTTCTCGTCACCTCCACCCTAATCCCCCCACAGCTGTACCCATACCTCACAGTCTGTCCCCACTTTTGTTTCTTAATCTAACCTACTGGCCACTTCTGTCATCTTTGCTAATTCCTTTCAGATAACCATTCTAGAGCTCGTAACTTTGTGAATTCTCTAGAGTTCTAAATAGTTTAAACTTCTCTATCTTCTGATAAGTGTATTCTCTTATTAAACCCTCCAAAAAACTGAGATTAACTGCCACGTGAGTTGTATATAACTCAGTTTTGAGCCCAGGGCCTCATGAAGCATTATGTAACTCACACATCTCCTTCACCTTTGGAACTGTGAGAACTATTAATATATTAATATTAATCTTACTTAACCTCAATGTTACTGTCACTAACAAATCTTTCTTAGCTATGTGCAGATAAAACAGCATTGCCTCGAAACTCTGTTAGCTTTATTAACACTGAATGTTTTGTTGTCACTTATACCATTGTAACTGCCAGACTCCTCAAGCTAAATGATACTTCAGAACTATCTGTGCCTTTGGCAATGAACAAAATATGTTGCAACTCAACATATAAACAATAATATGAAAAAATACAGACCATGGAATATAAGCTGTTAAGGAAGGAAGAGAGGATATGAGATGAAAGTACAGTGAAAAGATGGCAGGACCAATATATTGTATTAATAGATTCTGGTAGAATCAAAGAATTGTTGATGTCAAAATCAAGAGTGAATAAGGTAGAAAGATAGGAGATCATGGTGTTTTGGGACCCTACAAAGAAATGTTTTTCAAGTTGTATATAACTCACAGAAAATAATAAAAAATAACAAATTTTTCATTAAATTAGAAAGGATTGTTTTGTTTTTGAAGTTTTCATTCTATTTTCATAATAAAACACCATGGCCCCAAGGAAAAAATTTTTTTTCTAGTGTGGCAATGTGTTAAACAAACTCTAAAACCTCAATTAACTAGCCCTGAGAAAAGTTCCTCAAGTAATTTATTTATTTATGGAAGACATAAATATGCATATTTAAGAGCTTACTATCTATAGCCTTTGGATAAAATTTTAGGTATTACTTCTTTCATTCTATACTCAACACCTCACTTCCCAAAATTCTGCTTTGGTTCACATGACAGACCCCACCCACTTCTCACCTGTCTCTGACCCCAAACCTCTTCCTTAGACATTCCATCCACTCCCACTATTTTAACTCACAAGTTTGTATTCTGCTGCTAGTGTTTGTGCCAGTTTCGCCCTCATTTCTAAATCTGGACTGCTTGTTTCCTAAACAGAGACTAATCCATTTTCCTTGAGCTCCATTTTTCTAGGCTCCTACATTCCTGCTCCATGCAGTGATTGCCTGGCCTCTGGACGTCAGCTGTACACACCTGTTGGCTGCCAGCCTGAGGTGTCAACATAAGGGTTTAAGTTTAGAACACAGATCTTCTCCATGCTTCTTTATCACACAAGGAGTATGCTTTTTCATAAGACTAAAACCTAGTATCCTACTTTTCATTTATAAGAGTGATTCAGAGGAGTATCTATAACTTTTGTCAGTAGTCATAACAACATTCCTTGGTTATTCTAACCCCTATATTGATTTTTACCTATGATAAGTTACTTTGCTCTAGGAAACTGATTACCATTCTAATTCTGCTAAACAGTGACTAAATAAAACCAAAGAGAGAGAGAACATAAACTACGGATAACAGCATCCTAGTTGAACATCTTTTCATCTTAGATGCTTACCTGAAACTGGTTAATAAAAGGTGCTATATTTAATCCAAGAGTACGTTCTATTCCTTGAACAGCACTCTCTTCTACCAGTGTCTGTGATTCCACAAGCAACCCAAACATCAGCACATACTGAGGAAAGATCTTGCCTCCAGACTGTAGTAAACACCTAAAGAAGAAATAATATTTTTAAAAGCTTTTTGTTTCCCTACATTTTATAAATATCAATACATAAAAATCATGATGAATTAATTAAGAGCTACAGATTACAAACAGTCTAATGGACTTTCTGTTATTACTGGCTGGTAGTTCAGAATGGTAGGCCACTGGAAATAATTTCCCAACAAGTCAAACAAAGTGACTGATGATCAATGAAAGAGAAAAATAATTAGTTGGCTAGATGGACATTAATTCTTTAGATTGAGATAAGAGTGATCAATGGATCCCAAACCTAGTAGGGAAAGTTTGACTAGTAAAATGACATATACACAGTCTCAAAGCATCACCGCCACAAGTGTTTATTCATCACAAAGGGGAAAATAGTAACTTATTTGGAGAAATCTGGTGGATACAACTTAAACCATGTAATCTAAATTAACCTAAAAAATAATGGGATAAGGCAACACCAGGTGCCTCTAAATGTGATAAAACTTCTGTGGTATTTATTCTGTAAAATGGATAATCTGAATCTAATCATAAAACCATGAGGAACAATCTACAAAAATGGCCCACACTCTTTAAAACTGTTAACGTCATGACAGATTGTCAGAATAACGGAGTTGAAAGAGACATGAAAACTAATGTAATACAGGATTCTACATTGGATTCTGGACCAGGAACAAAAAAGCTATAAAGAATATATTCTTGTGACAACTGGTGAAATCTGGGTAAGATTTGTAGATTAGATAACAGTATTGTCTCCATGTAAATTTCCTGATTTTGATAACTGTACAGTGGTTACATAAATGAATGTCCTACTCTTAGAAAATACATACCAAAGTATTAGGGGTAAGGGATATAATATCTGTAACTTATTCTAAATGTTTACAGGGAAAGAATAATATATACCAAATGTGGCAAAATATTAATAATTTGTGAATCTGGGTGTCAAATATATGGTAAATTCTTTGTACTATTCTTTAAATTCTCCATAAGATTGAAATTGTTTCCAAATAAAA